GGGCAGCCAGGACCCGGGGCTCCTGTGTCACTTCTTCTTGGCGCGGTCTGCTGCGTCTAGGGCAGCCATGTTGCGGGCAGCCGTGATCAGGTGGATGACACTGATGAGCGACTTCAGCAAAGCGATGGGGGCAGTGACCCAGAGGCCCATCCGGAACAGTCCCACGGAGCCAACTGCAGGAAGGCAGCAGGGAAGTTCGGGGCCCGAAGGAGGGGGCCTCCATCTCCCTGGGCAGGCCAGATCCCCCTCCCATCCTCCTGCCCCGCCCCTCATCTCATACCTAAAGGTCCCTCAGAGAAATGGAACAGGTAGAGGAGGCAGTAGAAGAGCTCATTCCCAGCACACAAGGTGAACAGAGCAGGCTGCACATACAGCAAACAGGCCACATTAGCAAGAGGTAGGCGTGTGCCACCCCCTGCCCCCCCAGCACTAATGAGGGTGCAATCTCAGCAGATTATTATTTTTTTTCTTTTTTAGAGACAGGGTCTCGCTCTGTCATCCAGGCTGGAATGCAGTGGTATGATCATAGCACTGCAGCCTCAAAACTCCTGGTCTCAGCCAGGCGTGGTGGCTCATGCCTGTGGTCCCAGCACTTTGGGTGGCTGAGTCAGGCAGATCACCTGAGGTCAGGAGATTGAGACCAGCCTGGCCAACATGGCGAAATCCCTCTCTACTAAAAATACAAAAATTAGCCGAACGTGGTGGCGCATGCCCGTAGTCCTAGTAGTCCTAGACTCCTAGTAGTCCTCAGGAGGCTGAGGCACAAGAATCGCTGGAACCCAGCAGGCAGAGGTTGCATTGAGCCGGTAACGCGCCAACGAACTCCAGCCTGGGTGACAGAGTGAGACTCTGTCTCAAAAAAAAAAAAAAACCTTGGTCTCATGCAATCCTTCCACCTTAGCCTCCTAAGTAGAGACTACAGGCGTGCACCACTGTGCCTGGCTAAGCTAATTCAAGGGTTTGTGTGTGTGTGTGTGTGTGTGTGTGTGTGTGTGTGTGGAAACAGAGTCTCACTTTGTTGCCCAGGCTGGTCTCAAACTCCTGATCTCAAGCAATCCCCCCACCTCAGCCTCCCAAAGCGCTGAGATTACAGGCATGAGCCACCATGCCCAGCCATTATCTTTTTAAAAATCCTTCCAGAGGCTGCCTGTGTTCCTGAAATCAAGTCCACACTCCAGCCCTGCAAACCTCTCTGGCTTATCTCCCTCTCCTCTTTCAGTCCCTCCTCTTTGCAGGCCTCATTCCCACTTGTTCCCTGGAGTAATTCACACAGGCCTTCCCCACCAATCCTCCTCCTCCACACCTCAGCTTACAGGCCCCTCCTCCTGGAGTGACTGGGCAGGCCCTGCTCTGTGCCCTTGCCTTCTCCTAGTCTAGGACCAGGGTTCAGCCCAGGGCTTCCCACAGCCAAGAGCCTGAGGGGCGGGGTGTGCAGGAAATGCCTACCCTCGAGGTGTAATAGATCCGAAGCACTGGATTCCCGGACAAGTCGATCATCTTGTGACTCTCGCTGCCTCGGACCACAGAACTTAGGGAGAAAACAGGGGAACCCATGAGGTTTCATGACCACTACCGTGCATCCGATCCTCATGTTAACACCTATTGTACAGATGGAAAACTGGGCACGGCTAAGGACCAATATCCTGCCCAAAGCCAGTTACCTATTTCGGGGCAGAGTCAGGATTCAAATACTACATTTGAAAGCTCCTATGCCCCTTCCTATGAGCTGTCACCTATTTGGAATCCTAGAATATCCAGCCAGAAGAGTCCTAAGAATTGCTTAATGCAACTGTAAACATGACCGAAGCTTTAAAGAGAGGCGTGTTTGCCTGGGGTCCTTCTACAAAGCAGAGCTAAAATGGAGCCCTTCCAGGACGCCTAGTGCCATCCCAGACACCCTTCCATCTAAGCTCAGCCCACCCCACTGTAGTGTCTCTAACTGGCCAAGGCCCCCAGCATCGCGGCAGACCTGTGGAGGTGCAGCCAGTGACTGGCCACATCCAAACTCATGCTGAGTTGGAAGAACAGCGTGGCTCGAGGGTACAGCAGGGCCAGGTTGACCAACAGGCACATGGTGGAGCAGCGGTCCGTCAGCATGTCCAGCATGGCCCCAAACCGGGTTCCTGGAAGATCAGGTGGGCAGGGGCTATTATGGCACAGAGACTGCAGGACAGGTGCCCATATTTGGTTTATCACTCTCATGCAGGGTGTAAACGAAGACTGGGAGTGTCCACCTGCCTGGGGAGGAACGCAGGTTGGAAAACAGGCTGTGTGTGAGGTTAGTGGGCAAAGGTCACCATGGCATGAACTGAGAAAGGCATGAGAGTGAAGGGAACAGGGTAGGAGGAGAGGAAAGCTATGTCTGCAGCTCATCAACCCCAGAACCAAGGCTCCAGGGCTAGAAAAAGAGACTTGATGCCTCAGGGGAAGCCTTAGAGTTGGGTCTGGAGAACAGATTAAAAAATTAGTCAACCCGGCCGGGCGCGGTGGCTCAAGCCTGTAATCCCAGCACTTTGGGAGGCTGAGGCGGGTGGATCACCTGAGGTCAGGAGTTCGAGACCAGCCTGGCCAACATGGTGAAACCCCGTCTCTACTAAAAATACAAAAATTAGCTGGGCGTGGTGGCGGGCGCCTGTAGTCCCAGCTACTCGGGAGGCTGAGGCAGGAGAATGGCGTGAACCCGGGCGGGCGGAGCTTGCAGTGAGCCGAGATCGCACCACTGCAGCCCAGCCTGGGGCACAGAGCAACACTCCGTCTCAAAAAAAAAAAAAAAAAAAAAAAAAATTAGTCAACCCTCCAAGAGCCATCATCCGTCCCTCTCCATCCTCCCTCTAAGCATGCCTTCTGGAACCCCAACTACTTATGCAGGGCACACAGTAGGCCTCCAGGAAACACCTGTTGATAGGACTTTTTTTTTTTCCCCGAGACAGACTCTTGCTCTGTCGCCCAGGCTGGAGTGTGACGGCACAATCTCGGCTCACTGCAACCTCCGCCTCCCAGGTTCAAGCAATTCTCCTGCCTTAGCCTCTTGAGTAGCTGAGATTACAGGCACACGTCACCAAGCCAGCTAATTTTTGTATTTTTTGCAGAGACAGGGTTTCACTATGTTGGTCACTCTGGTCTCGAACTTCTGACCTCGTGATCCGCCTGCCTCGGCCTCCCAAGTGCTGGGATTACAGGCGTGAGCCACCGCCCCTGGCCTGAATGGACTTGTGTTCAGAGAGACCTCCAGCAGCGCCACGGCCACGTCATGTCTTGCTAATCCACACCTCTCACAAGCAGTGAGTTCTCAAGAGCTAGCTTAAATCCCTTCTGCTACAAAATCAGGCCATTCTTGCTGGGTGCAGCACTTTGGGAGGAAGGCAGGAGGATCGCTTGAGGCTAGGAGCTGGGGACCAGTCTGGGTGACACTGCAAGACTCAGTCTCTACAAAAATTTAAAAATTAGCCAGGTGTGGTGGCACGCGCCTGTAGTCCCAGTTAATCAGGAGGCTGAGGTGGAAGGATTACTTGAGCCCAGGAGATGGGGGCTGCAGTGAGCCATGATCGCACCACTGCACTCCAGCCTGTGACAGAGCGAGACGCTGTCTCAAAAACAAAACACAAAACAAAACAAAAACCCCAGGCCATCCTGTTCTGCTTTTTTCAGAGATGGGAATGACAGCCCTCTGACTCTGAGGTCCTGAGGAGGCAGGGAAGGGAGCAGGGGGTTGTTGGGCCCCAAGGCTGGCTGAGAGGGGTGTCTGTCACCTTGATTAAGAGCGCGAGCAGCATGTCCATCGAAAGCGTCCAGCAGGCCGCTGAGCAGGTAGAAGGAGGAGGCCGTGAGGGGGCAGCAGGGCATGAAGTAGAAAGAAATGATGGCGAAGACAATCCGGGCATAACCTTGGAACGGGACGCGGGGAAACAGGGCAGGATTAGGGAGCCCGCCAAGGCCCCTCGCCCTCTAGTCCGCCCCGGGGCCGCGGGCAGCACTCACCGATGAGGTTGGGCACGAACAGGAAGATATTTTCGTCTGGCATCGCAGCGCCTCCCTTGCTGCCCCGGGCCTGCTCTGAAGATGCCAGCGCTGTCCCAGCCCCGTCGCGCGGCCTCAGCCTCCGGCCCGGTTCATCGGCCGCACCACCTGCGCCCTGGACCCCGCCGCCCCAACCCGGCCCCAGATGCTGAATCCCGCAGCCGTCGGGAGCATGGGCCGGCCCCGAGACGCGCAGGGCGCAGGGGGCGCGCGCAGCCCGCCCTTCCTACCCGCAACCCCCCTCGCCTCTGCCCGCCCCGCAGGCGCTCCGGGCCTCCAGCTGCGGTCGCCGCTGCTCCAGCTGCGCGTGGCTTTCGGGAACCTCCTCCTCCGCGCTCGTCTTCGCAAAATTGGAGAGAGGAAAAAGTGGCTTAAAAAATAGTTGCAGCCCCTTTAAGGCCTGTTCGCTTCCTTTCCCTTTTCCTCCCTCCGCCCCTCTCCCTTGGCTCGTACCAAGGCGCAGAGGGGGAGAGGGAGGAAAGAACCATTGACGTCGAGCAAAGGCAGAAACGGAAAAGGAAAGAGCAAAAGAGAAAGAGGCCGAATAAAAATATCTGCTTTCCTTTTCTGGAGGGTTTGACTTCCTGGAGACAAAAATAAGGCGATAAAATTCCTCCTTCTGAGTCTTTGCATCCCCGAGAGGTCAGGATATTTGGTGCAGTCCTCACTTTTCTCCCCGCCCCCTAAGTCTGCAGCCGCCTTTGCTCTCGCAGGCTCCAGGCGGCTAGAGAGGCTCCAGAGCGCCCTGAAGCCGGCTTGCTTCTCGCGTGCCCCTTGTGATAGGAGGATTAGGTCGCAGGCTCCACCCTGCGTCATCCTCCCAAACTTCTCAAGCGTCTGGCGCTGGGGTCACTGCCCCCAAGGAGGCACCTGGAGGGGTACTGAGGGGAGGCTGGAGGAGCAAACGGGGCGAGCTGGGAAATTCCTCTGTCTTTAGTTCTAGAACCCCTGATCTCCTAGCAACGAGGCTGCGGAACCTCCGCAGACTCCAAGGGTTTTTTAGCGGCCGGTAGCAACACGGAGCCGGCTCCCCCTTTTCCAGCCTTCCTCCCCATCTCCCATTCCCCGTCCCCCACGACCTATACCAGAGGTCCTTAGGCCTCCACGTCTCCCCTTCTGCCTAGTAGCCCAAGGTTTCCACCCATCTGCCAGGTCTGGGGCGTCAAGTTGGCTGCCTTAGCTTGGGAAGGGGCTTGAAAGGGAAGAAACGAGAGGCCCACCAGGCGAAGGGGTGAGGGTTGGGGGGTTGCGGGAGTTCCCTCTCACTCCTGAAGATATAAAGCAATGTTTATTATTATTATTATTATTTTCTTGAGAGAGAGAATGAGGCAGCGGGATGTTTCCTCTAAAGGCCTTGTTTAAACCTGGGCCCGGGGAATGGTGGTGAGCTGAGTTCTGGGGTACAGCGGGCCGGTTTCTCAGGTCAACACAGGCCTCGACTGTTCCCAGGGGGATGGCGTCCACTCCGATGGGGAATGAGGGGGAGAAGAAGAGCAGCTGGCCGTCTCAAGCTGCACCCTCCTTGAGAGGAGGTCCGGTGAGCACTGCAGGGGGCCCTAGAGGTGGGAGTGTAATGAAGTGAAGGCCTCCCAGGCAGAGGCACCCCGTCCCAGGTCTGAGCCACAAGCCCTGAGACTCTAGCTTCAACCCTGAGTCCTGAAGCCCAGACCCATAGCTCTCAACACTAGGCCCTGACTGTAAACCTCCACCAAACCCCACTCCTCCAGATTCAGAGCCTTCTAGCTAAATCTCAAGGCCCAGTCCTTCAAGAGCAAGCTCCTTGGACCCACAGGCCCCAGCCTGGGAACTCCTACACCCAGCACTTCCATGTGGGAGCTCCCAGGCTGAACCTCTCCGACTTTTCCTTTCCCAGGCTTCGTTGTCTCTCTCTGAGGAATACCTGTCCCGGATCAGTGCAGAACTGACGGAGGAGGCTTTGTGCACTGCTTGTTGCCACTTGAACCCTGTGCCCATCAAAAAAAAACAGACACAAGACCAAGCGACTCAGATATCCAAACGTGGTAACCCCCTGCCTCAGGACTATGGTGTCTAGAGAACCGCAGCCCCCATCATGCCTGGTTTCAGTCCCTGACCCTGCCCACCCCTAGCTGAACTCTCCAGGAGTCTGTGCCCATCTCGACCATCTCACAGCCAGCCCTAGGACCTGTGAAGTGCCCCTCTTACCCGCTAACCCAGTACCCACTCCTCACTGCTGGCTGAGAATCCCTTTACCCCGTCTGCCCTGGCCACACCTCTTCCTGGCCATGGGGATAGTCCTTTCTCTGACTAGGTCCTCTACTTCCAGCATTCTTCACCAAGACCTGAGGCACAGAGACCCGGTGAGTGAGGCTTCAAGGGAGATGCTCTTTGTTCTGGGAGAGAGATGGGGAACCTGGACGGGAGAGAGCGAGGGTTTCACAACATCCCAGCAGGGTAGGGGAATTTTTGAACCCTGTACTTTCATTCTATTCTGCCCTGATCCTCAGATTCTGAGTTCTCAGCCCTCTCCCCTCTCTTCCACCATCTCCCGCTCCGACAGAAGCCGTACCTGCAGCAAGGCACACCCCCTGCCAACTCCTCGTGAAAAGGTACATGCAGGGTCCATGGCTGCCAAGGCTATTCGATATTAACCAAACCTTTTGAGTTTGCACTATATGCTGGTCCCTGTCTTAGGAGCTTGGGACACAGAAATGAATGATACAGTCTCGGCCCTTGAAGAGTTCAGTTCAGTGTGGGGACAGACAAGGAAATGGCCAATTATAATACAGTATGGATAAGTTTCCATAATAGAAATGGACACAGTGGGATATTACTCTCGTCCCAACCTTAATTGGGACAGGAAGGAAAGGAACCATGGAGCTGCTGCTGCTTTTTTTTTTTTCTTTTGAGACAGAGTCTTGCTCTGTCACCCAGGCTGGAGTGCAGTGGCACAATCTTGGCTTACTGCAAGCTCCAATTCTTGGGTTCACACCATTCTCCTGCCTCAGCCTCTGGAGTAGCTGGGACTACAGGCACCTGCCACCACACCTGGCTAATTTTTTTGTATTTTTAGTAGAGACGAGGTTTCACTGTGTTAGCCAGAATGGTCTTGATCTCCTGACCTCATGATCTGCCCGCCTCAGCCTCCCAAAGTGTTGGGATTACAGACTTTGGAGCTTCTTGAAGGAGGTAGCACCTAAAGAAATAATTTTCCACAGGGCGCAGTGGCTCACGCCTGTGATCCCAGCATTTTGGGAGGCTGAGATGGGCCGATGACTTCAGGGCAGGAGTTTGAGACCAACCTGGTCAACATGGTGACAGAGGTTGCAGTGAGCCAAGATTGCACCACTGCACTCCAGCCTGGGCGACGGTGAGACTCCATCTCAAAAAAAAAAAGGAAAAAAAAGAAAAAAAGAAAGAAAGAATTTTCCAGGAAAAAAGAAAAAAAAAGAGATTGGTAGGAGTCTTTCAAACAGTTGGAGTTGCATGAACAAAGGCAAAGAGCAGTCTTCGCAGAGCCACTGTGAGCATCTGTGTGTACTTAGGGCAGGGAGCAGCAGTTTAGCAGCTGGAGTCTACAGGCAAAGTAAGAGGGGACTCAAGAGACTTTGTGTGCCTTGTTTAGAGCCATACACACTTTCCTGGCTGGGTGTGGTCGCTTATGCCTGTAATCCCAGCATTTTGGGAAGCTGAAGCAGGAGGATCGCTTGCATCCAGGAGTTTGAGACCAGCCTGGGCAACATGGTGATACCCCAGGCATGATGGCATGTGCCTGTGGTCCCAGTTACTTGGGAGGTGGGAGGATTGCTTGAGCCCAGGAGTTCAAGAACAGCCTGGGCAACATAGAGAGACCCCATCTCTATAAAAAGTTAAAAAATTAGCTAGGTGTGGTGGCACGAACCTGTGGTCTCAGCTACTCAAGAGGCTGAGGCCAGAGGATCACTTGAGCCTAGCAGGTTGATACTGCAGTGAACCATGATCATGCCACCGCATTCCAGCCTGGGTGACAGTGCAAGACCCTGTCTCAAAAAGGCAATTTTTAAAAAAAGTAAAAAAAGAAAGAAATAGGAGGAGGAGCTGGGCGTGGTGGCTCATGCCTGTAATCCCAGCACTTTGGCAGGCCAAGGCGGGCGGATCATGAGATCAGGAGTTCAAGACCAGCCTGGCCAACGTAGTAAAACCCTGTCTCTACTAAAAATACAAAAGTTAGGTCAGGCGCGGCGGCTCACGCCTGTAATCCCAGCACTTTGGGAGACCGAGGCGGGCAGATCATCTGAGGTCAGGAGTTCGAGACCAGCCTGGCCAACATGGTAAAACCCTGTCTCTACTAAAAATACAAAAATTAGCTGAGCATGGTGGCATGCACCTGTAATCCCAGCTACTCAGGAGGCTGAGGCAGGAGAATCACTTGAACCCAGGAGTTGGAGGTTGCAGTGAGCCACAATCGCACCA